ACCCCTCTAATTTACCACTGCAATTCTCCCTTCACCCGAGTACATAGTGTTAGTATATTTGAATGTATTAATTACTATTATTACCACCATGAAGTAGACATTGATTCGATTTTTGATCCTCAATTTCAATTTTCAAGTTCCCTCGTGCGTCAACAATCTACACCTGGTGTTACTAACCGCGTTAGAATTAAAAGAATAAAAAACGACGACGTGCGAGGCGGGGTATGAAACGGCGTGCATCATATATCTTAATTTTTCGAGAGTCGTTCTGGAAATAGCATGGGAAGAAGGTAGCGTGGTCGAAACGGCGAACGCTGAGGTGCAGGTCGGTCGGAAACAGTAGTGGTGATGGAATGAATGGGAAAGCGTTGAAAATGCGAAGACAAGGGTGATGGTTTGTGATTTGTTTTACTATTTAGTAGAATTTTATATTGTGAGTTTACGAAGGGAATCATTTTGTGTAGAAACTTGGGTTGGACTTTGTTTGTTTATAATGAATAAAAGGAGGAAGGAGTTTGAAAAGTTTTTGATGACAGTGTACGGTGAGTTTGTATTTTGTTGGCGGTTTGCAATAATAGTGTATATATGTGTTGTACGAAGGATGAGAGTTGGTGGGAATATGTGTGGGGTTTGGTGGTGGTGTGAGTGAGAAGTCAAAACTTGGTTAGAAGAAGTGTAGGAGTGAGTGAGGTTGGTCACAGGTTCCATTTCCAGGTGCAGCACATGAGTGGTGTTTGAGTGATGGAGGAAAGCAAAATGCAGCATTTAATGCATGCAGGTCTTGAGGGGGGAAGGGCTACCACCTAGCTACACCCTAGCTGCTGCTGTTGCTTCAGAGCTAAAGCCACAACTGATGCTGTATGTGGGGTTGTCGATCGTCAATTTCAACCTGTCTGCCTTTCACAACTGGACCAACACTCTTGTGCAAACCACCTATTTTAACTTAATTCCTTCATCAACTCTTTTTGTTTTAAACCTTTTCACTGATTTTCAAAAGGTATATATATATACAATTTTTTCTTATTCCTGATTTCTTTTTAATCATTATTATCGCTTGCTCATTTTTTTTTTTTAATTTGAACATATATAAATTCACATTATTACACTCACACCACACATAAGTCTTTGTTTTTATTTTTAATGATTTCATCGCTATTTTATTTTTTAAAAATAATTTTAAAAAGAAATTAAACCACGTTTAATTAAGTTTAAATTTTCAAAAATTTGAAAGTTTAATTTTTTTTTTGTTATTAGACATTTAAAAAAATTATACATTTAAAACTTTATTTTTGTAATTTTCTTAATTTATCTTTATATAAGGAAGGTTTGTGATTTTCTTTTGTTATAAATTACTTTTGAATTTACATTAAATTTTTTTTCAAATATTAACATTTATTGTATCTTATAACCATTTGATCAGTTTAAGACTAGACGGTTTCATCGATATGGAACAACTGGTCGGTGAGTAAGATGAATTCATCGTCGGTCAATATTACGTGAGCTTTAAGGCTAAAGAGGATTATATTAAGCCTAAGTATAATAATCACCAGTAAAACTATACTTAGATTGACATTAATTTGAAATTTATACATACAAGTTTGAAATATTATGATAAATTGGTTACGTTTAATACATATTTATTACTAATACAGTGAATTGAAATTTTAGAGTTAGAAAATCGGATAAGAAAAAAGAGTTGACCCGGACCCATAAGCCTAAACACCTACAATTATATTATTATTTAATTTTATTTTCTTAACTCATTACACATAAAAAGTGTTGCATAAATTATTTTAACCAAATAAATAAACATTTTTCAAAATTAAATTTGTAAAAAACTACCATAATTATAATATTTTATAATGATAATTTTTATATTTCTATAATTATAATATATTTATATTATCTTATTTATTATAATCATTCTTCAAATTTTTTACTCTCATTTAATTTATAAATATTAAATTAAATATCTTTTCTAAATTTATATTCATATTAGTTTATAAAAAATTACAAATTTTAATAAAATAATTTATTAAAATAAATATATAAATCTATAAAACTAAAAGTAAAATGATGCTAAAAATTTGTTTCTAGAAAAAAAAAAGGATTTCAGTAGCAAAATAATCTGTAAAATTATAAAAAATATGATGATAATTTAATTTTTCGCAACAAGAAATTGTACTTGAATAATAAATAAAATTTACGTCAATAAAATTGAAATATCAAGAAAAAAGTTCGATTTTGTAATTAATTTAAATTATAATAAAACTACTGTAAATTAATAAACTACTTTTATTATTCAATATCATTTTGTGTTAATTATAAAATATTATATTTTTTAATACATAAAAAAATTAAACTGCATAACTCAATTGAAAAATATAAAATTTTCAATGTTTAAAAAGATTTAATAAGAAATAAGTTAAAAATATTATGTGTGTGTATTTGTGTTGTTTTTTTTCAAGTTTGGTGATTTTCA